TTATTGGAAGGAACCTTAACTTAGGCTAATCTTATGTGCTCTTTTTCCTATTTTTTACCAAATTTTGGCTGAGTTTAGAAACAATTAGTCAATTTTATATAGAAGCATGAATTAAGGGAGACTTACTCATTTTTAAAAGTTTTTTCTGTTACTCCACACAAAAAAAGTTTTAAATATTTTCGTTATATTTTATGTTGTTGGTTCGACATAAAAATATTTTTTTTTGTATTTTAGTCAATAATACTGATAATTTGGTAGACAACAACACAATAGATTTGATTAAGTAAATGATAATTTGCTAGTGACAAAATTAAAAAAAAAAGTATGATATTTAGTGTTTGACTATATTGAGTATAAAAATATTTTATTAGGTATTCTACAATAATGTAAATCTCAAATCAATAGAAAAAAACAATTATTTGATAATTTGATACATATCTACAAAGTATTTTACTTGGACTAAATCACGCATTTCACAATATTTTTAAAATCGTAAATATAGAAACATTTAAAAAAAAAAAAATTTATTTGTTTCATGTCCATAAGTGTTTCAACTTTCAACCAATTTTGTTTCCTAATAGAAAATTTAGCATTATCTTGCAATCTATATTATATAATAAAGAGAACTTAAGGTTGATAGCAAAGAATTTTAGGATAATTAGGAAAATAATAAAAATTTTAGCCAAACCACCTATTGTTTTCCAAAGTAATCCCAAATCTTTTGTCATTTTCCTAATTTCCCATTAATTTTTTGTTATCTAGCAAATTAACTGGTTATTAAAATATATTGGATGCTTTGAATGGTTATGGAATACTCTTGGTTAATGTTTTAGTTCAAAATATAAAGTTGAAAATTTCATGATTATGTGATATTCTGAATAATTCTGAACAAAAACATAAAAGCAAGCGTAATCTTGATGTGATTGAGAAATTAATAATTACTTATTATAGATTATTGCAAATGATAATCAACATAAAAGGAGTGATGTTGGGGAATCGAGAGGTCTATGTCTGTGTCTTTGTATCATAAATAGGTCGAAGAAAAACCTATAAGGTAACAAGATCATGATGGATATTCTTAAATCACCAAAAAAATTATATTAGTACCAAATATTAAATGTTACCTTTTCACAACGTAATTGATATACGTATTTTTCTTTAATAATAACACTTCAATTAGCATGCGATGCATGGGCCGGGTGCTTATGCTATTGTTCCATGTTACAGTAGCTAGTTAATCCATTTTCACAGTTTCCAATCAATCGATTAACACTTCAATTCCATGCGATACATGAGTTTCAACAAATGGCAACCAACATTCGAATTCATAAACTCCATCAGTCTAAACTTTTATGAATCATTTTTTATCACAACGGATCGGTCCATGAACCCAGTTAACTCTATTACATAGAAGGAGATTCGACCCCGAATGGTATCAATTGTTAGTAGATTTTTATGAATGTTATTTAACCGGGTCATTAGTTTCTTGTTCTGTAAAATATTAAGC